GCAGAACCGTTTCTGGAGATCAACCTTTTTTCATTTCTGGAAGTGAACGTTCAACAACAACAACAACAACAACAACAACAACAACAACAACAACAACAAGCACAACCACAACCACAACAGCAACAACAATAACAACAACAGCAACAACAACAACCACAACAACAACCACAACAACAGCAACAACAACAACAATCACCACAACCACAACCACAACCACAACCACAACCACAACCACAGCCACAGCCACAGCCACAACCACAACCACAACCACAACCACAACAACCACAACGACCACAGCAACCACGACAACAACAGCCATTTTACCCTCATGCGCGATGTTTCCACACGAAGCATGCGACCATCATGATAACCATCCACGTAATGGTGGACTCTTGTTCTACAGCGGGGTCCGTTATTCCCATTCCCAGATCTCCCGCCCAATGATGTCTTGCAAACACCTCCTCCGAGGAATGTCAACAGATCCCGCCTCGAAAACACATGCCCGCGCCTTGCTGCGCCGATGCGAGACCGCCAGTGGAACCCCAGCGAAGGGTGAAGCACAAGGAAGTATCGAACGACAGGATTGCCTTGGTGGGGATGGGGGCTGTCGGCGGTGAGGCAAGGACCTGGCCCTGAATATAAAGGGAGGACGTCTCGAGCAGGGCTGCTGTTGTTGCTGGGAGCGGCGCCAATGCTGAAGAGAGTAGGGCGCTAGTCCAGCGTGAAACAAAACGAAGTCTCGAGCGGGAACGCTGGTTTTGTTGGGACAGCGGCTGTCGGCGGCGAGGAGGAGCACCGCCTTGAGTAAGAAAGGAGGAAGCATCGAGCGGGACGGGGGTTGTCGGCGGCGAGGAACAGCACCGTCCCGAGGAAAAAGAAAGGAAATCTCGAGCGGGAGCGTTGTTCTTGCCGGGAGCGGCGCCAATTCAAAAGAGAGTTGGGCGCCAGTCCAGCGTAAAACGGAACGAATTCTCGGGCAGGAGCGCTGGTTTTGTCGGGGCGGCGGCTTCTGGCGGCGAGGAGGAGCACCGCCTTGAACAAAAAGGGAGAAAGCCTCGAGCGGGAGCCGTGGTTTTGTCGGGACGGGGGTTGTCGGCGGCGAGAAACAGGTACCGTCTTCAGGAAAAAGGGAGGAAGCCTCGAGCGGAAGCGTTGTTCTTGCTGGGAGCGGCGCCAATTCAAAAGAGAGTTGGGCGCCAGTCCAGCGTAAAACGGAACGAAGTCTCGCGCGGGAGCGCTGGTTTTGTCGGGGCGGCGGTTTTTGGCGGCGAGGAGGAACACCACCTTGAGCAAAAAGGGAGGAGGCCTCGAGCGGGAGCGTTGTTTTTGCTGGGGGCGGTGCCGATGAGAGAAAGACTAGCGCGCCAGTCCAAGGTAAAACGGGAGGAAGTCTCGAGCGGAAGCGCTGGTTTTGTCAGGACGGCGGTTTGCGGCGGCGAGCAAGAACACCAGCCCTGAGTAAGAAAGGAGGAAGTCTCGAGCGGGAGCGCTGTTGTTGTTGGGGGGCGGTTTTGGCGGTCCCCCAAACCGCTCGAGCGTGAGCCTCATTTTCAATGAAAATGTAGCCGGCGCCTCGGCGAGAGTGCCAGGGCGCCTTTAAGGGGAGGAGGAGGGGCGGAGGAGGAGGAGGAGGAGGAAGAGGAGGGTGGGGAGGAGGAGGAGGAGGAGGAGGAGGAGGAGGAGGAGGAGGAGGAGGAGGAGGAGGAGGAGGAGGAGGGAGGAGGAGGGCGCCTTCCAGGTGTCCAACAATAATAACTGTTTAGTAGTTAACATTCAACAAGAACGGCCCCGAGAGGCCTGCGCGCCCCCTCGGGAGGGCGCCGCCTGCTACACCAGCACCGACCCTGGGGCACCGGGTGGACCTGACCAGGAGGTGGAGGAGGAGGAGGAGGAGGAGGAGAAGGAGGAGGAGGAGGAGGAGGAGGAGGAGGAGGGAGGAGGAGGAGGAGGAGGAGGAGGAGAAGAGGAGGAGGGGTGGGCCCAGGGACACATCCATAAATAGACACAAATCCCCGGATGCTCCCTATTTTCCATATGTTCTGGATGTTCGTCTTCCCCTCTGTTTCCCCTGTCTTCAACATTTCCCTGGGGATCGGGGATTAGTGTGTCTGTACGTGTTTTTCTCCCTCCCGAGAAGATGGTTGGCACGCCCCCCGAACATTCTCCTGCTCCTGCTGCAACGGCCTCCCCTCCCCTCCCCTCCCTCCCCCCCGCACCATTCCCCCCTCCCCCACTGCCTCGTGGTGACTGGGCGCGTGGACCCCGAACAGTGAAACGGCATGCACTCCGCAAGCGGGACCGTCTGAGAAACCGCCGCTGACACGAGGGGCGGGTGTAACCAAAACGACCGAGGTCGTGACCCGTGTTTCGCAACACCGAAAGGCAACGAGGTCCCCTGCAAGAAAGCGCCGCGACTCCAGCAGACAGGGGCGAGCAAGGCCGGGACCCTTTCGGAGAGCACCGCAACCCTGATCACGGAATACGCAGGAGCAACTGAGACAGGGCCTCTGTCGGCAGAACCTTGTTGGCGAGCACCACGACCCTCACAACGGGAGCAAGCCCAGCGTGACCCCACGGGTGCGACCCAGCTTAGAGGGAGAAGAACAGCATAAACATAAACTTCCAGAGGTCTTCGATTGACGCTGGACCCAGGGCAGGAGGAGGAAGAGGACGAGGAGGAGGAGGAGGAGGAGGACCAGTGTAAACCCAAGAGCCATCAACGATGTTGGAATGAACCCTCCCTCCAAGCTCCCTCTCCGTAGGCCCCTACCACGGTTCATCTCCATTGAAAGAACTGCCGCGTTGGAAGACAACCGTTTGAAGATCCTGAACCGTGCCAAAAAAAATGTCTCAGGAGTTCAACGCCACGTATCAACCTAACTGCTGCGTCTTGACGATCGGAAATCGTGCCAGAACGCCGTTGGGGGGACGTCAACACCGCGAATCAACATAACTGGTGCGCCCGCAGAATCCTGAAGCCTTCCAAAACTCCATTTCTGGTACGTCGACCATGGGAATCCGTGAAACCATTGCAACTATTGAAAACGAATCTGCGCGGCGCGCAGGCGAGAGCCACATTTTGAAAAGGAACCGCCCTCAATCCGTGAAACTCTTGCAACTGCTGTGCGTGGCGCTGAAGCGAGAGCAACATATCGAAAACGACCCGCCCTCAATCCGTGAAACTTCTGCAACTGTTTACAACGAGTGTGCGCGGCGCTAAGGCGAGAGCAACATGTTAAAAAGGAACCGCCTTCAGTCCGTGAAACTCTTGCAAATGATTCACACGAATGTGCGCGGCGCTAAAGGCGAGAGCCACATTTTGAAAACCACCCGCCCTCAATTCATGAAACTCTTGCCAATGTTCAAAACGAGGCGAGAGCCACATGTTGAAAACCGCCCGCCCTCGATCCGCGAAACTTTTTTGCAATTTTTTAAAACACGCGAATATGCGCGGCGCTGAGGCGAGAGCCACACTTTGAGAGCGGCCCGCCCTCCGTCTGTGAAACTGTTGTCACTTTAAGCTTCAGGGTCATACATGGTGCGGAACTCTCGGGCGAAACGCCCGGCCCGCCCTGAAAACTGGCCTCGGGGTGCGACAGGAAGAAGTTACCTACAAGCACACTGGCCATCGCTCGGACGTCCATTTCCTGTGCGTTTGTCGGTTTCGTGCGTGGCTGTTTCGCCAAATGCTCGAGGATGCTCCTCGATGGTCCTCGCCGCAGGAAACATGCACACGCCCGAGCGATGCCAAGGCACAAGGACTGGAGGAGGCGCGCGCGGAGCACACCAAGGCGCGGCGCAGAAGCGGCGCGCCGCCAGGAGGGCCAGCGCCGCTCCAGGAAGCCCACGCGAGGCTCCGCGAGGCTGTCTCGTCGCTTCGGCCCTGCGGGAAAGCACTCCCGCGAGCAACAGCGGCTTCAAAGCCGATCACCGAAGTGCGCCGTGGTGTGCGTACCCAAACGCACGGCTGCACACCACCCGTCCGGCCCCGCGGCCCCGGCCAAAAGCCAGAGGGAGGGGGGGCTGCAACGCCGAGCGCGGGCAAGGACGCCCGACGATCAGGGGGAACACCCCAGAGGGGAAGAGGAGGGGGCGGAGAAGGGGAGAGGAACACTGGGGCGGGGGCGAACAGGAGGAGGAGGAGAAGGAGGAGGAGGAGGAGGACGAGGGGGAGGGAGGAGGAGGAGGAGGAGAGAGGGGGAGGAGGAGGAGGAGGAGGAGGAGGAGGAGGAGGAGGAGGAGGAGGAGGAGGAGGAGGAGGAGGAGGAGCAGTCCCCAACGAAGAGGGGCAACCAGGCCGGGGCCCTCCCGGCGGGGGACACACTGCGCCGGGCCCTTCGGACAACCGATACAGGTCGGGCATGTCCTCCTACAGGCGGACCTTCGAAGAAAAATAATACGGCTGAAGGATATATAGAGGTATATATCTATATATATATATACACAAATAAGCTCAAATAATCAAAAATACTCGTAAAGTCGTCCCGAGACTATTTTCTACTATCTTTGAATATTCCTCCTGTGGAGGGGCATGCCCGACATATGAAACTAAACAGGCAGGACCGACACATCAGTAGAAGGCGCGGATGAAAACACTTAGGCGACAGCGCTGGTGGGGGCCCACTGGATAACCAACAGCCAGGACCGACTCATCGATAGGAGGTGCGCATGAAAGCCCTTGGTCGACAGCACCGTTGGGGGAACTGTCTGGGCGGCGGCTGCGCCTTGTCCACGGAGAAAATGTCTTCGCAGAGCTGACCCGACAAAACGCGTCGCCGTGTGCAGCGAAAAGAAGCGGGTCTTAGGCGAGATGGCATAGCGACCTTACGCCAAAGTCTACGCTGGCCGCCAGCGTGGCGCGCTACACTGGAAGCGAGGGCGCTTACGCGGGACGCTTACGCGCCAATGTCGGTGAGACGACCCCGCTTTCTTTCGTCCCTCGCGTGCGCTCGCAGCAGCCTCCCCTGCGCCGACGCCGCCGGCGTTCGAAGCCCCTGGTCCTCGCACACGAGTCTGCCGATGCGCTCCCGGGTCTCCTCTGGGGGAACAAGACTCGAGCTCTGGAGGCTCGGCTTCGCCTGACTCAAAGAAGGAACATGGACCACCGCCACCGAGAACCCATCGGAAGGGGACCGACCCCCAGGCCGTGGCACGCCTGAGCGTGGGACGGTCTGCCAGACCGAAGCTGAAATTTGGCGGGAGCCCCCGCTGCAACCGTTTTACAAAGCTGGGTCGTCAAACCGCGCGCTGGGACCACCAACGAGCGGCGGCCCTAATTACCCGAGCCCCGGCAAACTCGAGTCTCACGCTCTCCCGATCCTCCAATGAGTCTGGGTCGCCGACGTCATTGTCGTGAGAATTGTTGTAGCGGTACCTGGGGGAACCGAGAGGTACCAATACCACTGGTTACTCCCCGGATCTCTCCCAGGGTGCGTTCTGACCAGGATGTCGAGGCGACTCCAGCCGTGGCGACGAGGGCCTCCCAGGAGGCCCAAACAAGCGAAAACGAACTGATCCAAACCTGTGACGTCGTGATTTTTTCACAACGTCGACCCCCAGAGGTCTCCAGAGACCCCCACCCCAAAAGAAAACGAAAAACCTCCCGTCGCGTTTACTTCGTCACGAAGCGATGGGGGGGCCCAAAAGAGCGAAAACGAGGGTCAGCGGTACTGGTACCCTTTCCTCGGGTCGGGCAGGTCCTCCTACAGGCGGATTTTGGAAGAACAATCAAAGTTCCCCCCCTCCCCCCCCCAAAAAAAGCGAAAAATCTGCCCAGACTATTCCTTTATCATTTCTGAAAGATACCTCCTGTAGAGGGACGTGCCCGACGTGACCTCTTCCTCCCATGAGTGCCACGAGGGCTCCACGTCGCCCCAGGGCTGCTTCAGACTGCGCGCCGTCGGGAGCACGGTGCGCAGGCCCGGCAGCCGGTCCCCGCCGGAGTTCCAGGGCATGCAGAGGCCCATGGGGCCGTTGTCCAGGTACTCCTCGTGAGCGGCGCCGGCCGTGCACACACACACACACACGGCCACCTCCTCCTCCTCCTCCTCCTGCTCCTGTTGCTCCTTGTCCTCCTCCTCCTCCTCCTCCTCCTCCTCCTCCTCCTCCTCCTCCTCCTCCTCCTCCTCCTCCTCCTCCTCCTCCTCCTCCTTCCCCTCCTCATCATCATCATCCTCATCCTCATCATCATCAGCAGCATCAGCATCAGCATCAGCATCATCATCGTCACCACCACCACCACCACCATCATCAGCAGCAGCAGCATCATCAGCATCATCATCATCAGCAGCATCAGCAGCATCAGCAGCAGCATTATCATCATCAGCATCATCCCCTCTTCCATTCCTGCTCCTCATATTATACATATATATATATATTATTTTTTGTTTCTTTTTTAAACAAACAAAAAAAAACTTCTCCCTGTCTCACCCCGAGGCCAGTTTTTAGGGCGGCTCGGGCGTTTCGCCTGAGACCTCCTCACCAATGGCAACAGTTTCACAATTGGAGGACGGGTCGTTTTCAAAAGGTGGCTCTCGCCGTAGCACCGCGCACATTCGTTTAAACGAATGCAAGAGCTTCATGGATTGAGGGGAACTCACTTTCAAAATGTGGCTCTCGCCTTCGCGCCGCGCACAGTGTTTTTTTTAACATGTGCAAGAGTTTCACGGATTGAGGGCGACCCATTTTCAAAATGATGGTTTCGCCTTAGCGCCGCGCACATTCGTTATGAAAATATGAAAATTTCAAGGATTGAGGGGAACCGGTTTTCAAAATGTGGCTCTCGCCTTAGCGCCGCGCACTTTCGCTTTCAAAATGCACAAGAGTTTCACTGATTGATGGTGGCTCCATTTCAATATGTGGTTCCCGCCTCAGCGCCGCGCACATTCGTTCATAAAATGTGCAAGAGTTTCACGGGCTCCCATGATCAAGTGCCAGAAATGGCGTCTTCGACGGACTCTGGATTATGAAGGCGCAAGAGTTAAGTGCATTCGCGATGTTGAAGTCCCAAGAAAGGCGTTCTGGCACGATTCTGGATCGTCGAAACGCAACAGTCAGGTTGATCCGTGGCGTTGATATCCCGAGAATCATGTTTTGGTATGCTTCAGAATCGCCAAACGGTTGTCTTCCAACGAGGCAGTTCCCTCAATGGTAATGAAAAGTTGTAGGGGCCTATGAAGAGGGAGCTTGGAAGGAGGGTGTACTCCAACATCCTTGATGACTCTTGGGTTTACACTGGTCCTCCTCCTCCTCCTCCGCCTCCTCCTCCTCATCATCATCATCATCATCATCATCATCATCATCATCATCATCATCATCATCATCATCATCATCATCATCATCATCATCATCATCATCATCATCATCATCATCATCATCATCATCATCATCATCATCATCATCATCATCATCATCATCATCATCATCCTTCTCTCCTCCTCCCCCTCCTTCTCCTCCTCCTCTTCTCTCCTCCTCCTCCTCCTCCTTCCCTCCCCCTCCCCTCCCCCACACCCCATCCCCCTCCCTTTCCCCTTCACCCTCCCCATCCCCTTCCTCCTCCCCCTCTCCTCCACACCCTCCCCCTGCTCCTCCTCCTCCTCCCCCTCTTCTCACACCCTCCCCCTCCTCCTCCTCCTCCTCCTCCTCCTCCTCCTCCTCCTCCTCCTGCTGCTCCGCCTTCCCAGGGACCAGCTTTTCATCCTGAGTCGTTTCAAACGGCCCCTGGGCCCAGCGAGGGCCCTCGGAGGTCGAAAATAGCAAAACCCATTGTCGTGTTTCTTCACGACGCGAAGAGGTCTGGGTTGGCGCCGCCCACAGGCCTCCCCGGTGCGGGAGTGGCCGTGCAGGTAGATGAGAGTGCACAGGTGCTCACTGCCGTTCTTGGGCTCCACCACGAGGTCGGGCGCAGGCGCCGGCTTGTCTGCCTTCCTCCACTCGGCCAGCCCCTCGGGGCGGCCCCGCACTCCAGGGCGCCCGGGCTCTCCAGGCCGTCCTCGGCTGCTCGAGGGGACATCCCGCCCGGCAGGCTCGCCGAGTCTGACTGGCAGGTCGGCCCTGCCAGAGCAAGGGCACGATGACCCGAAACCGGGTCGGAAAATCGGATCGGCCATCATCGAAACACGTCGCATCGGAAGAGATCGGCGAGCAGGTCGGAAGGCATCGGAATCGACGTCCGCCGGCCCAAGCCGAGGCGTACGCGAGGAACTCCGAGCCCGAGTCGGAATCCAGGTTCGGACCGAATCGAGATCCGAACCCTCGAACCCGAATCGAGCTGAATCGACGGAGTCGAAGGAAGAGGAGGAGCCGAGGCCCGCCGCCGACGCCGCGGGCCGGGAGCCGGCCGCTGGCGGGAGCCCAGGGTCCGCCGCCGCCGCGAGGCCAGGGCCAGTCGGAGGAGACGGGAGGATGGGCAGGTCCTCCTCCTCGTCCTCCTCCTCCTCCTCCTCCTCCTCCTCCTCCTCTCCTCCTCCTCCTCCTCTCCCTCCTCCTCCTCCTCCTCCTCCTCCTCCTCCTCCTCCTCCTCCTCCTCCTCCTCCTCCTCCTCCTCCTCCTCCTCTTCCTCGGGCTCCTGCATGGGGTGCCCCTGGGCCCCGTGCGTCGCGCCTCGTGCCAATCTGCGCTTCGAGGAGCAGCTCTGTGCTCGCGCGCTTCGCGCTCTCGCGCTGCCGCCCCCCTGGGCCCCGGGGGGAGAACAGGTGGTCGAGGAGGAGGAGGAGGAGGAGGAGGAGGAGGAGGAGGAGGAGGAGGAGGAGGAGGAGGAGGGGGGAAGAGGAGGAGGAGGAGGAGGAGGAAGAGGAGGAGGAGGAGGAGGAGGAGGAGAGGAGGAGGAGGGGGGGGAGGAGGAGGGGGAAGAGGACGAGGACAAGGATGATAATGAGCAGGAGGAGGAGGAGGAAGAACAGGAGGAGGACTCGCGAGCCGCGAGCCGCGACTAGCTTCAGGTCGGGCGTGTCCTCCTACAGGCGGAGTTTGGACGAAAAATGAAAAAGAGCCAAAAGTATGCAAGAATTACCAAACATAGTCCAAACATCGTCCCCAGACCATTTGTTACTGTTCTTGAATAGTACTCCTCTAGAGGGACAGGCCCGACTTAAGACTAGCTCCGCGTCCTCGTGGCGGCCCTCGTGCGTCACGCCTCGTGCCATCTCTGCACTCCTGGGGAAGAGGCCGTGCCCTGGGAAGCAAGCTTAGAGGACTCTCACATGGTGTCTGGGTAAATGGGGTCGGAGGATCGCGCCGCATCGCCGATGTATCGGTCGGCGATACGTCGAAGATGCATCGGCGATGCATCGGCGACGTCGGCGACGCATCGGCGACGTCGGCGCGGGCAAACATGGGCTCCACACCCAGCCGCATCGCCGATGCATCGGCGATCCGGCGCAATCCTCCGACCCCATCCAGGAGGCCTAGAAAGCTCGACTGCACGGCGGGTTCACGCCGCGATGACGGTCGCACTGGCGTCTGACACCGCGTGGATCGTTCGGCGCCGAACCATCCGAGCATTCCGACAGCGCAGATCGCTCGATATCGGCCGTGCAACAACAAAAACATCAACAGCAACCGCAACCGCAACAGCAACAACAACGACAGCTCCGAAAAGACAACAACAACAACAACAACAACAACAACAACAACGACGACAACAACAACAACAGCAACAACAACTACAACAACAGCAGCAGCAGCAACAACAACAACAGCAGCAGCAACAGCAACAGCAACAGCAACAGCACTAACAACCGTAACAGTTACAGCAACAGCAACAGCAGCAACAGCAGCAACGACGACGACTACGACAACGACAACGACGACGCCAGCGACAGCAACAACAACCACAACAACAGCAACAACAACAATAGCAACAACAACAACAACAACAACAACAACAACAACAACAACAACAACAACAACAGCAACAACAACAACGACAACGACAACAACAACACCAGCAGCAACAACAACAGCAGCAACGGCAACAGCAACAGCAACAGCAACAACCACGACATCAACATCAACGACTACGACAACAACAGCAACAATAACAACAGCAACGACAACAACAACAACGACAACCACAGCCACAACCACATCAATTACAGCAACAACAACGACAACAACAACGACAACAACAACTACAATCATTTTACCCGAACGCGTGGTGTTCTCCCCAGTGCCAGGGTTTTCATACGACACCAGGCAATACCCCCACTTCGTGGGGGGGCATTACAAGCTCTACCAAATATCCAAACGACTCTTCGCGACCACCCAAACCCAGCTTCCCGCCCTATGACGTTGGGACACTTCACTTCGTGGCGTGCGGACGACCGTGGCTACTACACTGGCGTGGGGTACACACCCACAGAACTTGGTCACTTATTCGGGGCGCGCATGTGCCCAGCATGGTGCAATTGTGCCATGCTGGGCACATGCGCGGATGGTATTATTTGACAGGGATGATGGCCCTGGCAGGTGCGCAACCGTTGTCGCAGAAGTTCGAAAAAGTTGCTCGCAAAAGCCCGTTTGACAGAAATGTTTAAAAAGTGTTGGGTTTCCTACGAATCCGCAAGAGCGCGCGGGATGAGATTTTGACATTTTTTGTTGAAAAACCATTGGTTTTTTGATGTTTTTATGTTAAAATCGCTCCGAACACTAAGCTTTTGGAAGGATTTCGTCTTGCGCGCGCGAATGTCCACTTTACCTTATTTTTTGCAAGGGATTCTTGAAATTTGATTATATTAGAACAAGAAATGTCATTTTATAGTGTTTTTTGCAAGGGAAAACGGATTACAACAAAACAACCGGATCTTGATGACATCGTATTACCTGAGGCTTCCTCACGAAAATGATGAAAATGTAGCTGCGGCCTAGGCGGCGCAGGGGGGCCGTGCACCAGGGGCCCCAACAATAATTATTCTTTAGAATTAATAATGTTCAACAACGACATTAACGACGACAACCAAAACAACAACAACAACAACAACAACAACAACAACAACAACAACAACAACAAAACAAAAAACAAAAAAAAAAAAAAAGCAGCAACAACAGCAGAACACGCCCGTCCTGTTTTTGTCACGACGCGAGCGTGCCTGGGTCTTGCTGACTACCTACCAGACCACCCCAACCCAACCCGAAGACCCGAATTTCGGGTTGGGGGGGATTCGGGCCCCCCCCAACTCGGGGGCGGCCAAGAGGGGGGCGTCCAAGAGGGGGGGGCGCGAACCATGGCCGGCGGCATGTGCGCGGCCCAGGGGGGGGCCGGGGACGCATTGAAATAAGAAGAGGCGCCATGAAATCTGGGGAAATATCATGGCCCACGCCATGACGCCCTAGTCTCAGGTCGGGCCTGTCCCCCTACAAGCCGATTTTCGACGAAAAATTAAAAATACCCCAAAAATATTCAAAGATGCTCAAAAATGGTCAACAAAAAATCGCCCCCTGACTTTGTATTTTTTGTTTCAATATACCTCCTGTAGAGGGACAGGCCCGACTTAACCCTAGTCATCACCCCCCTCTTGGCCGCCCCCGAACATCGGGGCCTTCAGGCGTGCTGGGGTGGTCTGGTGGGCGGCGGCCTGCGCGCCGCCGACCCCCGCGCCCTCGGCACGCGCCCCGACGGCCCGCACCGCCGCCGCCCGTGTTCCGACTCGGAACGCGCGGCGGCCGGGGCTGCGGAAAGGGCCGCGTGGGCCGACGACGACGACGACGACGACGACGACGACGACGAGGATGACGACGACGACGACGACGACGACGACGAGGACGAGGACGACGACGACGACGACGACGACGACGACGACGACGACGCCGACGCCGACGCCGACGCCGACGCCAACGCCGACGCCGACGCCGACGCCGACGCCGACGACGACGCCGACGGGGGCCCTCCGCGCGGCCCGCCCGGCGGTCCGTGCGCCCCGCCCTGCCAGGACGGCCCGCGGGGCGGCGCCGGGAGACGCCGCGGCGCCTCCGCGCCGCGCCACCTGCGAGCAGAGGGCGGGCACTGCGAGGAGGGGATCGACGACAGTCAACCCCTCGTCCTGCTCCTCCTCCTCCTCCTCCTCCTCCTCGTCCTCCTCCTCCTAATCATCCTCCTCCTCCTCCTCATGATCATCCTTGTCCTGCTCCTCCTCCTCCTCCACCTCCTCCTCCTCCTCCTCCTTCTCCTCCTCATGATCATCCTCCTCCTCATGATCATCCTCCTCCTCCTGCTCCTCAACCAGTACACCAGGGATGCGCGATGAGGACGCAGGGGCCTGGGAAGCCCACGTCGGAGCTTATCGAGCGGAGCGCGGCCAGCAAAAGCGGCCAAGGGTGGGCCGAGGAGGCAGGGATGCAAGGGTGCCCTGGGGAAGGTTGACCAGCCTTACTCTACGTGTGCGGGTTGGCTGCGCAGACTTGACTTGCCCCAAAACATTGCCTTGCTCCTCGAATCCCCGAAGAGTGCGCAGTTCGACTTAGACTACTCGTAGACTCACGAGCATTCTACGTACGACTCGACG